CGTCTGCCCCTGATCCCTTACATCTGCCTGCCCTTAGCAGAGCTGGAGGAGGAGGCCCGGCTGGATCTACTCACAGCCCCTGTTCTCTGGAATAGGGGAGACACAGAAAACACGGGCCAAACATTAAACTCTGATGCCATTGCATTCGTTATACTGTATGTGTGAAGGATATGTTGCATGATTTTCAATTAGCCTACTTGCAACAATAACAACACTGTGTGATATAGGAGACTTGAACATTATACATGATAAAACACAGCGGCGTGCACAGACCTCCTCAGGGACAGTGGCAGAGGGACCAAAATGGGCACTAAACATTTTTTTTGTTTTTGTTTTTATTCTTTCTTTCCTTGGTATTTTAAGAAAATATGTTGATATAGAATCCAACACATCAAATGAAAATAGGGAAATGATGATAATATTACTAAATATTATTTACTTTACCAAACAAAACAGTGATCATGAAGGCAATTGTGGAAAATTCATTTTTCGTTTTATTGATGTAAATTTAATGTTTGTATTATATGTATGAAAGTGTTAGCTATCATGAAACAGTAACACTTTACACTAAGTTTTCATTAGTTCAATTTAACAATAATAATGAACTGCACTTCTACAACATTTACTAATCTTAGTTAATATTAATTTTAACATTTACTAAAACATTTAAATAAAAAGTTGTATTTGTTATCATTAGTTAATGCACGGTGACATATTATGAATAAACAATTAACAATTGTAGTATTAATAACTAAAATTAACAATTATAGTAACAAACGTGTTGCTCATGGTTAGTTCATACATGAAAAATGAACAAATTAACCTTATTGTAAAGCGTTACTATGAAATAAAATATAAATTATGTGGAGTGTTGGACATGGACTTAAGATAAAACTAGATGTATGTATTTCCCTAAGCTAATAACACTTGATATGGCCTTGGATAAAAACGAATGACATTGTCACTCAGAATGCGTCTGAAATCGAATTACACTTTTATTATAGTTAAGTATAACTTGCATACTGCCACAACTTTTAGAGTACCATGGTAGGATGATAAATGTAATTTTCTGTATTAGCGTAAACGTTACCTGCTACTCGAGTAGTTTGAAGACTCGCGCGAACTGTTGTGTAGTGCGTACGTCCCAGAACCTTTAAATGCGTACGAGGCGCTGCAAAGGAAACTCCGCCTACCACTTCTCCGCCAATTTTTTAAAGGGGGGCTTGATTGCGGTTTCACTTTTTTCATTTTGTGTAATATTGCTGTTGGTGCATGAACCGTATCTGCAAAGTTGCAGCGCTGAAAGTTTAGTGTAAGCAGAGATATCGTCTTTTAAAAATTAGGAAGTATATTGCCTACAAAAACGACTCGATTGGGACTACAGCTGGGTTTTAGACTGGGTTTTTCGCCGCTTTCTCGGTCTGATTCTGCCTCAAACTGATACTGCACAACACACTAACTCACCAATCTGAGCCCACTGCCTGTTTCTGAGGGAAATTTATTTCTGAAATTTATGAAAAATAAGACTTTTTAAAAAAAAAAGAAAAAACACAAATGTTATATTGCACCCCATAACCACAATCATGGAAAGAAAAGAAAAAACAGTCACCCCCCACCCCCCTTAATATAATATTTGTTTGTGTTATTATTGTTAGTGGTAAGGGTGTGTAAGTGTATTGTTATTTATAATAATAATTTATAATTCTTTACAATTACAAAAAGGGCACAATACATTTTGAGACAAAAGGCCAGGGGCAAGAATGAATGAATCATTTACCGATTAGTTTAAAATAGTGATTGAGTAATTGAACCATGCACTCAAACTAGTCGTTTCAATCACTGATTTATTCAAAAACTAAACTAATGACTGCATATGATTAAGGAATTAAACAATTTACTTTACCGATTCGTTTTAAAACATTGGTTCATTCAGGAAAGAAAAAAAAGTGTGGGTGACAGAGTGAGTCATTGAACCATACCATTCACTGAAGCTATTCGTTCAAAATACTTTACAGATTCGTTAACAATGCGGTTTATTCAGGAACGATAGAAGCGAGTCGAGTGTGTGTTTATGGGTGAGCCATTCATAGAGCTTTAAGCATTCATTCATTCAAGCGATTCTTTTGATTCATTCGTGTTGCTCGGAGACGGATTCTGTTTTGGGTTCGTTTGGAACTGTTTCGGTGGCTGTTCGAAACCAGACAACGTACTTGACAATCGTGTCTAAAATGTAAGTTACTCAATATTAACTTCTTGTTTGTGGAAGGGAGGTGTAAGCAATATTATAATTGCCTAATTATATTTTAAATTATTTTAATTAGCTTTCAAACACAGTATTCTGTAATTTAAACCAAAAGCACTCCACTCTGAACACGCACGCTAACGTTTTTATCAGGCTCTCTTCTATGAAATGTTAAAGATCTTCTTTTACAACCTTAGGGGCCTATTTCTTTTTAACAGGACGTTGTTACTAACCTGTCAAAATTGAAGTGATGCTTTATAAAAAATGAAAAAAAAAAACATTCATTTGATATTTGATTGAAATACACCATTATGGTTTCATTAGCTCATCGATTTAGCAGTAATCTCATAGCAGAGACCATCAAGCAACTTACATGCAATAACCTGGGGCTAAATGTTAAAATATGATCCAGACTAGCTAATGACCCTATTACAATCGACCCAGGAAGCTGAGAAAGAGATTCTCCAGGTTATGCGGTGCCTCATGCGGGCTGCCCTCTGCTGTATCATCATCCTTACTATTAGAGTATTAACGTTACAAACCTAATTCATCCAACCAACACAACTCATAATCTAGCAAATGAGAAAGGGAAGATAGGGAAGATAGAAGGGGAAAAGCCCTCCATGTCTCTCATATTTTTTGATGCTTCTTTCTTTTCCTTTGCTCTATGATGTAAGAGGTGAATGTTCACCACCAACAACCTATTAAATCAGGCCTCATTCCTTCAATTTCTTCGCCAAACAGGCACCAGACCAAAATGTCTGGAGAGACCGATGGTCAGAGAGAGAGAGAGAGGCTAAAAAAAGAGAGACAGGCAGACAGACAAACCGAGGGGGGATGAATTGGAACCGCCCAATCAAATATTATTGCAGCTCCATGAATGTGTCCTGTAAATGTTGGCATGCTAATTGTGCATTTATAACATTTTTAATGGTTTGTTAATTTACCTCCCACTCTATGATTGCACTTGAAATGAGTTAATGACTGTGGGGGGAGAGTTAACAACATGCCCTGGCAGACACAATATTGCCCGCTTATTTATCAACCTGGCCTGCGTGAGAGAGACAGAGCGGCTTTGGGTGAATGAAGGGGATGTCTGTGGGGTGAAGAGCTATAGCTATAGGGACATATACAAATCAGAACTGGACAAATACAATTAATGTTTTAATTTTCTTTTTCCCTTAAAAAACCCCCAAAACATAAAAAGACAATAATTATGACAATAACATTCAGTTGGATAAGAATTTTGCCTGTTTAAAGATAAAAAGAAAGTGAAAAACAAAGCCGTCTCATTATCTAAACTATACTTAAAGGGATAGTTCAATTTTGAAATTAATGTTTGATATGTTTTAGCTTACCTCAAGTGCATCCGAGATGTAATGTAGGTGTCTTTGTTTCAGTAGTATTTTCAATTTTGATATTTTTAGGTCAAACCGTTCTTGTCTGTCAGTCATATAATGGAGGTCTATGGGGTCCACCTCAAAGAGCATGCACAGAGAAGTCCAAATTAAACATGATTCAATGACTCGTAAATGTAAGTACACATTGATGGCCTAAGACACGAAACGAGCGGTTTGTGTGAGAAAATTAATATGTAAGCCACAAAGCGCCCGCGCCCTCAGATCAGCTGGATGTGGCGGCACAAGAGGTAAAATCTACTGTATATAAAAACTGTTCGTTTTCTCACACAAACCGCTCGTTTCGTGTCTTAGGCCATCAATTTGTATTTACATTTATGAGTCATTGAATCATGTTTAATTTGGACTTGCATGCTCTTTGAGGTGGACCCCATAGACCTCCATTATATGACTGCAACGGTTTGACCTAAAAATATCAAAATTGAAAATACTGTGGAAGCAAAGACACCTACATCTTGGATGGCCTTGAAGTAAGCTAAAACATACCAAAAATTAATTTCAAAGTGAACTATCCCTTTAAAAAAAACACATTAGTGTGAAAGTGTAGAAAGTAAAATCACAGTTTTTCCTTAAAAATGTAATATTTGATTCAAAACATAGACTTGCTAGCCTGCATTAGTGAAACTGTAGGCTATATTGTAAGTTACAAACTTCTAATATGGTATAGTAGTGAGAAGAACATCTAATAATCTCTGAACAAAGACTAATCTCGGAAAATGAATTTATTGCTATTTTAAAAATTGTCTTCAGAATATTGATTTTCAGTTTCAGCACATCACTTTAAAACGTAGTTCCTTTACTAGCTACTAACCGTGATTAAATGCTGTTTTTATATATATATATATATATATATATATATATATATATATATATATATATATATAATAGCCTATATTCCTTTGGAACTGTGTGTGTGTGTGTGTGTGTGTGTGTGTTTTGCAGAGTTTCACCATCATTTTAATATAGTTGTTGGCATTTTTATTATCAGTGTGTAAATGGACTAGATTGAATATAGCATGTGCGGCTGACAGTGTGTATATGTGTGTGTTTCTTTCTGCAATCCAAGTAGCATTTATTTAAAACACAAAACTCTCAGTTATGATCTAATTATCTCACAATTAGAGGGACCACTACAGCATTACGTTAAATATAACAAATTAAACTAGAAATAAAGTAATTTAAACTCTTTAATTTAACTTCATATAATGCTTAACTTTAACTTAATAGTTTTATAATAAGATAAAGTATTCCACATAGAGTTTTTTACATAGGGAGTAATTAACTAAATAAGTCTGTGGATAGATTATTTGAACTGCTTGATTTACATGAGCCGTTCACTGTGAACTGATTCATTAAAATGAATCAGACTTTCCAATTCAATACAAAAGATAGCACAGTTTAGTCGAGCACGTGTGATTACTCGCTAGACTGTAAAGCTGCATGTGCAATAAATGTGACATAAGAAATAGTGATGTATCTTTTAGTCATGATAACATACAACAAAACAAACAAACAAAAAAAAAAACACTTTAGTATTACTACTTTTAATTAGTTACTGCCCAACACTGGCCTTCTTAAACATAAAGCATGCCTGATGGTAACACTGACATATGACCTGCATGCAGCGAATATTGGTAAATGAATAAGCAAACAAACACATAAACTAGATAAGAGACTGGTGCTAACATAGTTAGTAACGTCTCTGGCACTGTCCGTTCGAGTCATTTCCTCCAATCTTCCTCAGCAACAGGACATGACTTGGCGACATATAGACGAGAGACTATTGAGTTGCTTCTGTACTTGTGCTGTAACCCGGGCAATCAGGCCGAGAGCAGTTCAACTGGAATCTTAAACACATCGTGAAGGTATGTTTGCGTTTATTACGCTATTTGACGATAAAATGAAAGAAAATAAAGCAATATAGCAACATAATGTGTTTATTGTTAAATCCTCTCTCCTAAATTTCTTTTACATTTTAAAAATGAAACATTTTAAACAGAAATGTAAACTTATTTTATCAATAAGTTACCATTTATATGCATTACTTTTCAGTAGCCTACTATCTTTCCATCAAGGCTTCCAATCTCTGACCCGAATAGAGAGCGAAATGAATTGGGAGGCACTTTAAGGCAACGCATTCGTAACTTACTCCACTGGAACTCCACTCCACCCCTCACTAAACAAGCCACTCTATCAGTAAATGCTAATCTCCTAATTAACAAGCTAATTAGGTAATTATGGCTTTGCAGAAGGATGCCTAAATGAATTATGACAACACAGTCACTGCTTTCTGAGACACCTGTGGGCCCCTTTTTGGCTGTCACCGCAAAAAAAAAAAAAAAAAAAAAAAAATAAGTAAGGTGACAGCCTGTTCGGTTTTCAAAAACTTAATTCTCTTGGAAATGATGTGTATGTTCCGAGACAGGGGCTATTTGTTTTGAGACTGTCAATTAAACCTGTCAGATAAGAACGATTTTTTGACTAATTAGCACCCCATATGCATAAATAAGCGGTAAATGATTAAGGATTTATTAAACATTGACGAGATAAATGGAAGCTATGTTGTATGTGCTGTCTTTTTCCTTAATTCTTATAGTAATGATGTAATAAACATACATTTACCAATTAATATTATTGTTTAACACATGCATTTTGTAATATTTTAGGTTACACTTTAATTCCGATGCACTTTAGACATTCTACTAATAAGTAACTTGTCAACTAACTCTAATTAAAGTAGACTGTTAGGTTAGAGTTTGGGTTAGTAGAATAAGTCGACATGTTACTTATAGTCAGTAGAAAGTTGAGAATATTAAGCAGACGGTGTACTTGCACACTACAGTATAGTTGCAAAATGAGTTGTAGTTATTAGAATTTCTAAAGTGGACCATTGAAATCAAATATTTTATTATAGTATGTCTGATACGTTTGTTGAGAACATAATCTGATATTTATAAACACACACACATACACTTACACACACACATATAGCCTATGATATAGGGAGTAACCGCTTTGGATGGGAAGGAAAAAAAAAGCCGGTGTGCTCATTAGTGAAAATAATCATGAACGGTGGGCTTCTTTCCAAGAGCAATAATATCAACAGTTACCACTGACAACAGCGAGGTTACCATGGTCATATTTGGCAGAAACTTCAGCTGATATTTTCAAGACGCTCGGCTCATAAGCAGCACGATTTTCAGTATTCACTGCTTAAAGGGATAGTTAGGGGCCAAGCACCGAAGGTGCGGAGGCACCTATTGTATCTGTGCCGGTTCTTATTATTAGGGGCCAAGCACCGAAGGTGCGGAGGCACCTATTGTATCTGTTCCGTTTCCTATTATTATTATTATTCTTCTTCCGTTTCTGACTTGGCGTCTATGGCAGCCCATAGACCGGTTTGCGGGAAAGTTGTTTTGGTTTGACATTCTGATAGAGGACAGTCCCAACTTTAAATACACCAATTTTGGTGTCTCTAATGCATTCCCTCTAGCGCCACCAACTGTCCAAAGTTTCACTTTTATTATGCTAATAACTTTTGAACCGTAAGGCCTATCAACAAAATTCTTTTTTCCTCTTGTTCCTGAGCTCATGCCGATTCGATCGCACCCAATGACGTCATTTTCCGTCATAAAAAATTGGCCGCCATTTTGAATTTTCCAAAAAACCTACTTTTGCGAACTCGTCCTAGACGGTTTGTCCGATTTTCACCAAAATCGCACCTGATCATCTCCAGGCAGTGCTGACAAAAAGTTATGGAATTCAAGATGATTCGAATAACCGTTTTCGATAAACGCGTAAACAAAATTTACGTAGCGCTTGCGAAAACAGACGTGAGGTTGTATCTCCGCAACGCTTACTCGTTTTCACACCAAACTTGGTACGTGTTATCAAAAGCATGACCTGAGGCTACGTGCTGCGTTTCGGCGCAGCGCCACCTAGTGGTCCGGAGATATGAAAAATGGCTATTTTTGCTCGTAACTTCTGAACGGTTTCTCCAAAAATCAAAAACTTGGTCTCGTTAGATTCAGGGCGTCATGCCGAGTCGACCGATATCCAATTTTCCCAGATCGGCCATTTTGGCTGTCGGCCATTTTGAATTATGTGCTAAAATGCTGTATTTTTTGAACGCATGAACGAATTGTTACGAAACTCGGTATGGGTCATCAGTACGATGCCCTGAAGGAGCCTGAGAAGTTTCGAAACAGCGCCACCTAGTGGTGAATTTTTTTTTTCAAACGCTTATAACTTTGGGTGTGGTACACTTATTTTCACGGGAGTCATGTTTTTGAGTTCCTGAATCGTTGCCGAGTCCAACGATACTAAACATGCTGGGTTTCGTCTTACGGTTGGTGTAGCGTAGCGATTTAGCGCGAAAAAAACACTTGGCGATATCTTCAAAACCGCTGTTCCGATCGAGACGAAACCACCGTCAGAAACACGGATTCATAGCTTGTTAACTATACGCTAATGCCCAAATGCGTAAATATTGATAGTAAGGGGTAGTAAAATTCAAACAAAGTCATGTGTCAGTCATTTTTTACGTGTTTTTTCATATAAATGTTTATAACTCGGAAGCGAATTGAGATATTTTCACCAAAATTGACACACATATGTATGGGGTCACTCTGAGGACACATAAAAAAAATTGTGGGACTGAGCCTCTTGGTGGCGCTATAATAGAACAAAACGTGAAATTCCCATTGACTTCAATAGAGTTTTGTGAAATAAAATGCTATACTAAACAAATGCTTGGTGTAATATTACAAAACTCAGTGTGTGCCATAAGCAGCATGCCCTGAAGGTACTCAAAAGATTTTGAGACAGCGCCACCTGTTGGTCAAAAGTTATAATTAATTTCTGAGAACGCTAATAACTTTTGAATAAATTTGCCTATTGCAATGAAACTGATCTTAATAGATTCCTTGGTTATGCCGAAAACATAGATATCAGGTTTTGCATAATCAGACAAACTTCCTGTCCGCCATCTTTATTTCTTTGAAAAGCCTTCTTTTTCGAACTCCTCCTAGACCGTTTGTCCGATTTTCACGAAAATTGAATCGCATCATCTCCAGACCGTGCCGACTAAAAGTTATGAATTGCACGATGATAGACAAAACCGTTTTCGTATACCACAGCATCAAAATTTAGGCATGCTGCCAAAATTACTATTTAGGCTTTATCTCTGCAATGCCTTCACATTTTGACACCAAACTTTGCATGTGTCATTGTCACCTCACTCTGACCACATCACATCTATTTCGTAACTGCGCCACCTATTGTTCGAAAGTGATAACCCATTAAATCATCTTATAAGTTAATGTTTATGTGATTTTTTTAGCCATTTGCCCAAAGTTCTCTCAAAATGCCCTTAATTGCTCCTTGCTGCAGTTGGTCTGCCACTCCTTGCCATTTTGGCATATGTTGCCGCTTCTTGCGCTTGGCCCCGGTAATGGCTGCTTGCAGCTATATTTATTAGGGGCCAAGCACCGAAGGTGCGGAGGCACCTATTGTATCTGTGCCTTATATTATTATTATTATTATTATTCTTCTTCCGACTGGGCGTCTATGGCAGCCCATAGACCGGTTTGCGGGAAAGTTGTTTTGGTTTGACATTCTGATAGAGGACAGTCCCAACTTTAAATACACCAATTTTGGTGTCTCTAACTCATTCCCTCTAGCGCCACCAACTGTCCAAAGTTTCACTTTTATTATGCTAATAACTTTTGAACCGTAAGGCCTATCAACAAAATTCTTTTTTCCTCTTGTTCCTGAGCTCATGCCGATTCGATCGCACCCTATGACGTCATTTTCCGTCATAAAAAAACGGCCGCCATTTTGAATTTTCCAAAAAACCTACTTTTGCGAACTCGTCCTAGACGGTTTGTCCGATTTTCACCAAAATCGCACCGGATCATCTCCAGGCAGTGCTGACAAAAAGTTATGGAATTCAAGATGATTCGAATAACCGTTTTCGATAAACGCGTAAACAAAATTTACGTAGCGCTTGCGAAAACAGACGTGAGGTTGTATCTCCGCAACGCTTACTCGTTTTCACACCAAACTTGGTACGTGTTATCACAAGCATGACCTGAGGCTACGTGCTGCGTTTCGGCGCAGCGCCACCTAGTGGTCCGGAGATATGAAAAATGGCTATTTTTGCTCGTAACTTCTGAACGGTTTCTCCAAAAATCAAAAACTTGGTCTCGTTAGATTCAGGGCGTCATGCCGAGTCCACCGATATCCAATTTTCCCAGAACGGCCATTTTGGTGGTCGGCCATTTTGAATTATGTGCTAAAATGCTGTATTTTTTGAACGCATGAACGAATTGTTACGAAACTCGGTATGGGTCATCAGTACGATGCCCTGAAGGAGCCTGAGAAGTTTCGAAACAGCGCCACCTAGTGGTGAATTTTTTTTTTCAAACGCTTATAACTTTGGGTGTGGTACACTTATTTTCACGGGAGTCATGTTTTTGAGTTCCTGAATCGTTGCCGAGTCCAACGATACTAAACATGCTGGGTTTCGTCTTACGGTTGGTGTAGCGTAGCGATTTAGCGCGAAAAAAACACTTGGCGATATCTTCAAAACCGCTGTTCCGATCGAGACGAAACCACCGCCAGAAACACGGAATCATAGCTTGTTAACTATATGCTAATTCCCAAATGCGAAAATATTGATAGTAAGGGGTAGTAAAATTCAAAAAAAGTCATGTGTCAGTCATTTTTTACGTGTTTTTTCATATAAATGTTTATAACTCGGAAGCGAATTGAGATATTTTCACCAAAATTGACACACATATGTATGGGGTCACTCTGAGGACACATAAAAAAATTGTGGGACTGAGCCTCTTGGTGGCGCTATAAAAGAACAAAACGTGAAATTCCCATTGACTTCAATAGAGTTTTGTGAAATAAAATGCTATACTAAACAAATGCATTGGTGTAATATTACAAAACTCAGTGTGTGCCATAAGCAGCATGCCCTGAAGGTACTCAAAAGATTTTGAGACAGCGCCACCTGTTGGTCAAAAGTTATAATTAATTTCTGAGAACGCTAATAACTTTTGAATAAATTTGCCTATTGCAATGAAACTGATCTAGATTCCTTGGTTATGCCGAAAACATAGATATCAGGTTTTCCATAATCAGACAAACTTCCTGTCCGCCATCTTTATTTCTTTGAAAACCTTCTTTTTCGAACTCCTCCTAGACCGTTTGTCCGATTTTCACGAAAATTGAATCGTATCATCTCCAGACCGTGCCGACTAAAAGTTATGAATTGCACGATGATAGACAAAACCGTTTTCGTATACCACAGCATCAAAGTTTAGGCATGCTGCCAAAATTACTATTTAGGCTTTATCTCTGCAATGCCTTCACATTTTGACACCAAACTTTGCATGTGTCATTGTCACCTCACTCTGACCACATCACATCTATTTCGTAACTGCGCCACCTATTGTTCGAAAGTGATAACCCATTAAATCATCTTATAAGTTAATGTTTATGTGATTTTCTTAGCCATTTGCCCAAAGTTCTCTCAAAATGCCCTTAATTGCTCCTTGCTGCAGTTGGTCTGCCACTCCTTGCCATTTTGGCAAATGTTGCCGCTTCTTGCGCTTGGCCCCGGTAATGGCTGCTTGCAGCTATATTATTATTATTATTATTCTTCTTCCGACTGGGCGTCTATGGCAGCCCATAGACCGGTTTGCGGGAAAGTTGTTTTGGTTTGACATTCTGATAGAGGACAGTCCCAACTTTAAATACACCAATTTTGGTGTCTCTAACTCATTCCCTCTAGCGCCACCAACTGTCCAAAGTTTCACTTTTATTATGCTAATAACTTTTGAACCGTAAGGCCTATCAACAAAATTCTTTTTTCCTCTTGTTCCTGAGCTCATGCCGATTCGATCGCACCCTATGACGTCATTTTCCGTCATAAAAAAACGGCCGCCATTTTGAATTTTCCAAAAAACCTACTTTTGCGAACTCGTCCTAGACGGTTTGTCCGATTTTCACCAAAATCGCACCTGATCATCTCCAGGCAGTGCTGACAAAAAGTTATGGAATTCAAGATGATTCGAATAACCGTTTTCGATAAACGCGTAAACAAAATTTACGTAGCGCTTGCGAAAACAGACGTGAGGTTGTATCTCCGCAACGCTTACTCGTTTTCACACCAAACTTGGTACGTGTTATCACAAGCATGACCTGAGGCTACGTGCTGCGTTTCGGCGCAGCGCCACCTAGTGGTCCGGAGATATGAAAAATGGCTATTTTTGCTCGTAACTTCTGAACGGTTTCTCCAAAAATCAAAAACTTGGTCTCGTTAGATTCAGGGCGTCATGCCGAGTCGACCGATATCCAATTTTCCCAGATCGGCCATTTTGGCTGTCGGCCATTTTGAATTATGTGCTAAAATGCTGTATTTTTTGAACGCATGAACGAATTGTTACGAAACTCGTTATGGGTCATCAGTACGATGCCCTGAAGGAGCCTGAGAAGTTTCGAAACAGCGCCACCTAGTGGTGAATTGTTTTATTCAAACGCTTATAACTTTGGGTGTGGTACACTTATTTTCACGGGAGTCATATTTTTGAGGTCCTGAATCGTTGCCGAGTCCAACGATACCAAATATGTCGGGTTTCGTCTCACGGATGGCGTAGCGTAGCGATTTAGCGCGAAAAAAACACTTGGCGATATCTTCAAAACCGCTGTTCCGATCGAGACGAAACCACCGTCAGAAACACGGATTCATAGCTTGTTAACTATACGCTAATGCCCAAATGCGTAAATATTGATAGTAAGGGGTAGTAAAATTCAAACAAAGTCATGTGTCAGTCATTTTTTACGTGTTTTTTCATATAAATGTTTATAACTCGGAAGTAAATTGAGATATTTGCACCAAAATTGACACACATATGTATGGGGTCACTCTGAGGACACATAAAAAAAATTGTGGGACTGAGCCTCTTGGTGGCGCTATAATAGAACAAAACGTGAAATTCCCATTGACTTCAATACAGTTTTGTGAAATACAATGCTATACTAAACAAATGCTTTGGTCTAACATTACGAAACTCAGTGTGTGCCATAAGCAGCATGCCCTGAAGGTACTCAAAAGATTTTGAGACAGCGCCACCTGTTGGTCAAAAGTTATAATTAATTTCTAAGAAAGCGAATAACTTTTGAATAAATTTGCCTATTGCAATGAAACTGATCTTAATAGATTCCTTGGGTTATGCCGAAAACATAGATATCAGGTTTTGCATAATCAGCCAAACTTCCTGTCCGCCATCTTTATTTCTTTGAAAAGCCTTCTTTTTCGAACTCCTCCTAGACCGTTTGTCCGATTTTCACGAAAATTTAATCGCATCATCTCCAGACCGTGCCGACTAAAAGTTATGAATTGCACGATGATAGACAAAACCGTTTTCGTATACCACAGCATCAAAGTTTAGGCATGCTGCCAAAATTACTATTTAGGCTTTATCTCTGCAATGCCTTCACATTTTGACACCAAACTTTGCATGTGTCATTGTCACCTCCCTCTGACCACATCACATCTATTTCGTAACTGCGCCACCTATTGTTCGAAAGTGATAACCCATTAAATCATCTTATAAGTTAATGTTTATGTGATTTTTTTAGCCATTTGCCCAAAGTTCTCTCAAAATGCCCTTAATTGCTCCTTGCTGCAGTTGGTCTGCCACTCCTTGCCATTTTGGCATATGTTGCCGCTTCTTGCGCTTGGCCCCGGTAATGGCTGCTTGCAGCTATATTTCACTTTGAAATTAATTTTTGATATGTTTTGCTTCAAGTTTTGCATAAGCTTGCTTCAAGTGCATCCAAGATGTAGGTGTCTTTGTTTCCACAGTATTTTCAATTTTGATATTTTTAGGTCAAACCATTTGTGTCTATCAGTCATATAATGGAGGTCTATGGGGTCCACCTTATAAAGCATGCACAGAGAAGTCCAAATTAAACATGATTCAATGACTCGTAAATGTAAGTACACATTGATGCCCTAAGACACAAAACAAGCGGTATATGTGAGAAAACGAACAGTATTTATATATTTTTGCCTCTTGTAACCACAGCCACAAAGGTAAAAAACGATATAAATACTGTTCGTTTTCTCACACAAACCGCTCGTTTCGTGTCTTAGGCCATCAATGTGTACTAATGTTTACGAGTCATTAAATCATGTTTAATTTGGACTTCTCTGTGCATGCTCTTTGAGGTGGACCCCATAGACCTCCATTATATGACTGATAAAGATAAAGATAGAGGTAAGCTAAAACATACCAAAAATGAATTTCAAAGTGAACTATCCCTTTAAATGCTCATATGATTCAAACTGCTGTTGAATTATGATTTCATTACTCTTTTTCCATAAATTCACCGAAATTTCAAGTCGGTTGAAGGAAGTGGGCAGTAAACATCCAATGATAGAAATTGTGTTTATGTCATTATGTAAGCATGGCATCATGGCCAAAATAAGCTGAAGTGTCTTTTTTTCCCCCTCCCACCAAAAGATTTGCTGTCATACTTGGGGAAAATGAATTATGTTGACATATGGCTGAAAACAATGGTGGAAAGGCATGCAACGCAAGGCAATGAAGAATCATGCGGTGTTGTGGAGGAGAGGATCTGGAGCTGTTCCTTTGAGCCCTCTATGACAGGTATACAGAGCCACATGACAGCACAGTATTTCAGTGATAAATGCAGTGGGTCTGGGACTTCCATTCACTAAACTCAGGAGTGTGCCGGGCTGATACTTCAAGGTCAAGTGAATATGAAAGAGCCGAGCCACACAGCTTGCTAAAAAGAACGAGAGAGCCTCCTCTTGAACTTGGACAACTTCTAAATGTTATGTTGCTTAGATTCATGTGACGTGCTTTATAAGCACAGATGTTGTGTTACGGCACCATTCCATGATTGTTGGATGCTTGTGATTTTAAAAATCCATAATCTGTCAGTCGCACTTGCTATATTCAATCTAGTTCATTTACACACTGATAATAAAAATGACAACGCCTATATAAAAATGATGGTGAAACTCTGCGTGACACACACACACACATGCACTCAGTCGCAGCCAAAACAATTGAATTACAGGGCTTGTGGCATGTTGTCTTACTCTGTGATATGTGTGAAATGGTTAATTAAAGGTGAGCTCATTATTCTTGCTCAGGATCCAGTAACTGTGTTAACATGATCCATGACTAATATATCACCCACTTATTGCTCCTGAAGAATTGAATCAATTGCTCTGAACACCAATTCATACACAAGAGTTGAAGTAAATATGCCACTATAAATTCTACTGTTTGATCTGTATTGTTCAGGAAGATGTGTGTAAATCAAAAGCGTATGTGTGTTAAATATGTATCAAACTATAACAGAACAAAATCATGTGGTGTACAGTGTTTAAGCGAAATCGCCTAATATCACATTTGATTACTGAACATGATTGGGGATATAGGCTATCTGTAAATGTTGCTGTACTGTTTCCATATTTATCTGTTACAAATTAAAGTCGTTTAGAAATAAATAATTTGAATTCATATCAAATGCAGAACACATACATAAAACGAGCTTTAAAAAAGCATGTGTGCCACCACTTAAAGGGATAGTTCACTTTGAAATTAATTTTTGATATGTTTTAGCTTACCTCAAGGGCATCCAAGATGTGTCTTTGTTTCTGCAGTATTTTAAATTTTGATATTTTTAGGTCAAACCGTTCTTGTCTGTCAGTCATATAATGCTGGTATATGGGGTCCACCTCAAAGAGCATACAGAGAAGTCCAAATTAAAAATGATTTAATGACCCTTACATGTAAGTACACATTGATTGCCTAAGACACAAAACGAGTGGTTTGTGTGAGAAAACGAACAGTATTTTGTATAGTTTTTACCTCATGTAACCACAGCCACGTCCAAGTGATCTGACGGCACGGGCGCTTCGGTCTGAGCAAGCGCTGGAAAGCACTGGTAGTGATCTCTCACGCGGTTACGAAAAACAAAACAAAAAACCTATGTTGTCTGTTGATATATCGAAATCGTCTTCCATTGTAATTTCCTGTATTTCTAAAAATGTTTAGATCAATCAATGTGTACTTACATTTGCAAATCATTAAATCATGTTTAATTTGGACTTCTCTGTGCATGCTCTTTGAGGTGGACCCCATAAACCTCCATTATATGACTGACAGACAAGAACGGCAGATAGACACCTACATCTTGGATGCACTTGAGGTAAGCTAAAACATACCAAAAATTAATTTCAAAGTGAACTATCCCTTTAACCATATTTTGTGGGAAATTTGCTTTTTGTGGACATCCTAACCCTAACTCATTTGAAGTTAAAATGTTTTCTGTTAAAGTATTTATGTAAGAAGTGACCAATATAAGTCTATTGAATTTCCCCATTTAGAAAGCCACTGTAAGTAAACGTGTGCTCATGCGCTCATAATTTTGGGAAATACACAGACTTTCCCCAGTTTTTTTTTATTTATTTTTTTTTTTTATTGCAAAATCTACATGTTCTTTGGAAAAGAGGTTTACAACCCTTGCCATCTGTTCAGACATAATATTTTTAAAATATAGATGAAACATTTTGTGTGGGTGTTAGATCAAATTAAACAATATACCGTTGATTCAGATCATATCAGTCCTGTCACATAACGTTCATTAGCAATCACAAATCAAATTATAAACAAGACATGAATTTATGGCTTCAAATTACCTCGGAAGTGGGTGGTGTGCTGTGTACAAGCACAATTCTAATTGGTGAAAGAATTTATTTAAATCTCAATCTGTGTTACAACAATCCCATACACTTCTACTTATTTGTACTTGTATAAAAAAAAAAAAAAAACCACAAATAATCACTGGTATCAAAAAATGTTAAGTATTGAATATCTTGAAGCTTTTAAAGTTCCAAGCATGCTGACAGATTCTTCAGCGCTTTTCGCATTGTTTATCCTCAACTGGATCATCCCAGAGGAAGTTTTGATTTTCTGCATATCTGATTATTCGCTCTTTAATTAGCCTGCGTTAATTTCCCGTGTTGTGTGTGTCAGTGATGGAGGCAGTCCACAGGGCCTTCAGTCAGTTCATGCACTATATGGAACGGGACTTTCTGGTGCCAGCTTTCACAAATTCTCAGCGTAGCATCACGTTGTTGCCTTTGGAAGGGTGTCTGATTGACTTTCTTGCTGTGCAAAAATTAACAGCTCTGTTTCCTCTGTATGTGTCTCTGATTCATGGTAATTAGTCCCATCACATCAGAGGCTGTCATGTCACGAGTGCAACCCTGCAGAAGTGCATTACCTCAACTGTGGCTCCAGAGGATTTCATAATGAATATTAACCTGTGGGTAGGTAGTATGGTTGCAATGTGAGTTTTTTTTTTTTTTTTTTCTCTCTTTTCACTCACATCATTTGTCTTTAGGTCAAATAAATCTTTTCTGAACTGATGTATACATTTTTTTGTTTAAGTATTTATTTTTTGACTGTTAATGTCAGGCGGTACAACCAAAACACTGCACAAAATATATGATCAATAAGTCAATTTAATGTAATTTAAATTCAAATTACTTAAACATCCAAGTTGATTACTTGAAAATTTAAGGCAGCCACTTTTTTTTTCTTTTTTTTATAATTTTGTGACAGTCGTCCAACTTGACATGGAAAGTGTACCAACCCATATTTGATATGATCAATTTACTAGTATTTGAGATAAATCTACAAACCGTTTCAATCTGCCACAAGGATCATTTGGGGTCCTCTGGATGATGCATTATTACGTTTACTGTTATATTATTCATAAGAAAAGAGCCATGTTTTCAGTTGAGAATATACAATATTTCAATTATAACAGCTGATATTTAGCCTATTTATTAGGTTTCAAACCTAACATGATGCCACAGTGTGTGTGTATATATATTCTTAAAGTATTTTCTTAATCTGCAAATCTTTGTTCGGAAAGTTGCACCACCTGACATTTTGGGAGTTTAAAATAACAAAGCATACAATAATTATATGTATTATTTAAATGTACTAAAATTGAATTCAAACTTAATATGTTTTGTGATATTATTAATTTAGCTAATTATTTTAAAAGGAAATAATGCACTTGGAAAAAATATGCTTGTAATAATGTAAACAAGAATAAACAGTGTCACAAATGCTTTTAACCACTGTAAATATACATTAGTCATTACAACATGCAAATAATATAACAATTACATTTTAAAAAGTAACTGAATGGATTAAACAGTAAGGAATAAAAAAAAAGGTTAAAGTTTCTCATAAGGATATAAAAATACATTTTAGTAGATAGCCTACACATCATCAAATAAAGCAAATCTGTAAAGGCTAGTGGAGTTGGCACATGTGTTTCCCTCTGTAGCCAGTTTTGGTCTGTGAGAAGCTCTTATTTACCTCAGCACTAGAACAAAAAGCAAAACGGTTTAACTGTTAGGTGTATGACATTGAACAAAAGACGCGTATCCCATTTTAAAGCGCAACAACGCCAGGACATGAAATGTAGCGATTTTTGCTTCGGAAATACAGTGGTTTGGCGGGAAAGCCAATGTGGGTTTAGTAAGGAGTGTGTAAGAAGCGAGGCAACCGGAGGAAGGCGCAGAAATGTTTCAGTGTGTCTCTTTGCTTCGAGCCCACGGAGCACAGTCTGCTACCATAGCAACTGCCGATGAGTTCTGCAGCGCAGCGCCGCCTGCTTTTGCAGTAGATGTCACCCTTGACAACGGCCAATCAGAAGTTGATATCTCTCTGTACAACCGTAGCAAAGGTATTGAGCTCTGTAGGCGGGTGTTCGCGATCAGCGGGAGTCACCCATTGGTCCATCGGGCCGCCACTCAAAGACGGACTCTTCACTGATTGGTTCGGGGCGTCTATTTCCAATATTATAAACATGTCCTCTGCTTTCCAGCCCCTGCAAGCACGGCTTGTTGGAGGCGACCATACTATGGTGTAAGGAAGCGAGGGGTCCTGTGCAATTCATTATTAGTTTGAATCAGACAATATAAAACTCCGACCTTTTGTTTGTTTTATTGGAAATGGGTATAGGCCTAATGTAACGGCATCTCAGTGCACGGGCACGCTTTTAAATGAGGCACGCGTAGAGGAGACTTAAACGCTGTTGATTTGATGTTCTGCTCTCATCATTATCATCACCAGCAGTATCATTAGTAGCTAACTGGCATTTTGTTTTCGGGGGCTTCGGCGAGAAGTGACAAGAATCCAAGACCCCTCCTCTTCAGGGCGGAGCGTGCATTTTGATGTCGATTTTGTATCTTTTTTTCTTCTCTGACACGTCCGCACTGAGTGAATGGCATTGGCACATTGTCAATCGCTCACTACCGCTGCCATCAAACAACATAAAGCACACACAGCCCGCGCGCTCGACTCATAAATTTCCGCCAGCAGATATTTTTGCGCATCGCTTTATGGCGCGTGATTAATTTTTTCGCCAGTTTTTCTATTTTCCCTCTTGAAAGTGAGAAAAACTTTTTTTTTTATATATATACATTTTTATATATTTTTTTCCCTACAATCTTTATAGCTCTGGTCGCCGGTGCTGATGGTTTAATTTATTTCGCGCAGCTTCTTTTATTTTCTTATATTTCATTTTTTTTTAAAAGGGCAATATTTTGCCAGCTGTTCACACGCAGTGTGCTTGTTTTTAATTACATAATCATTGATTTTGATTAATTATTACTTTACATCAGAGGCATGGGATGTTTTGTTTGCAACTCTTTGTAATACTACGGATTTGTCCAAGTTTCCAAGAAGTGCACAAGGCGAAATTATCCTAAGAAGACTGCAAATAAGAATTCCAGACATCTGCAAAGGACCCCAGCTCTTCAAAGAAAAAAAGACAAATTGGCATGAAGATTCGGACAGGATTGAACGGGAACCCGCTGTCAATTGAATGCTGAAGTTTACTGAAATAATAGACAAGAAATATCATCGCTATTTTTTCTCCAATGGACATTCATACAGGAGGATCAAAGACGATTTAAATATTTTTCCATAAAGTGATTCCTGGGACATCAATTCCACTATATTTCATCCAGCGATTTATTGTATTTGCCGCGTCGCTTCACGGTCAATATTTTGTGCACGATAGCGACCCGTTAAACACCGCACATGAAATAATCAAGTTGTTTTTGCATGTGCATTCTCCGAGTTTCTTTCACCCATCTCAGTGACTGAGCACGAGCGCATTGATTGTGTTGCGGCGGACTATGGACGAGCAAGCCCGGATCATGCAGGCTCTCGGCGGTGTCAGCCTGGCCGGTCACTCGGTACAGGGAGGCATGGCTCTGCCGCCTCCTCATGGACACGACGGAACCGATGGGGATGGAAGAAAACAAGACATCGGTGACATTCTGCATCAGATCATGACCATCACCGACCAAAGCCTGGACGAGGCGCAAGCAAAGTTGGTGCATTTTTTTTGATATCTAAACGTTTTCATTGTCTTGTTTTGAAAGTCTTTTAAATGTGTGTTTTCTCC